AAGGTCTGGAATTAAACATGTATTAATGCATGGTGAGTCTGCTAGTGCAGATAAAGAAGCAGCTGAGAAGTACTGTCTCAAATTTCAAGAATTCATTGAAACAGAAGGGTATCGTCCACAACAAATATTTAATTGTGATGAAACTGGTTTGTTTTGGAAGCGCATGCCGAATTGTACCTACATCACGAAAGATGAGAAAAGTGTTCCTGGGCATAAACCTATGACCAATTGACGTTACTTTTGGGAGCTAACGCTAGTGGTGATATGAAGTTAAACCACTTCTCGTTTAGCACTCTGAGAATCCCAGAGCATTCAAAAAAATTCCATAACTAAGAGCAAACTGACAGTAATGTGGGGATCGAATCAGAGGGCATGGGTCACACAGTATCTTTTCAAGGAATGGCTAGTTTGTGCCCCTAGCATCAGGGACTACCTTGATACCAATGACTTGCCGTTGAAAGCACTGCTGCTATTGGACAATGCACCAGGACATCCAAAGGATCTTGAAGATAATTTGTTGACAGACTTTCCCTGGCTGACAGTTCAGTTTTTACCTCCGAATACGACTTCGCTGATTCAGCCGATGGATCAGGAAGTTATTGCGGCTTTCAAGAACACTCGCGTGCTGTTTCGTCGGTGTTTTGAAGCAAGCCAATTCTCCTCAACAATGACTTCAAAAAAGTTTAGGAAAGAAAAATTTGACATTCTTGAAGCTATTTGTATCATTCAAAAGGCGTGGTCAGAAATTCACACAGCGACAGTTGATTTCTGCTTGGCGGAAGCTGTGTCCATCCTTCGTTTAAGGTGACGGAGATGATCAGGGAGACACCCCTGAAATTATGGATAAAATTTTAACTGAACTGCTAGAGATCTGGAATAGGAGGTGAACGTGGATGACATAGAAGAGCTCATAATGGGACATGTAGATTAACTGACGACAGAAGAACTCCAAGAAATTTTGAATGAAGAACACCAAGAAACACAGCGAAATGTGTCTCCTTCTGAACAAAAGAAAGACGAAAGAGCATACCAATGCCGACATCTGCCGTTAAAGATCTTTTGAAAAAGTGGGAGGATGTCAGAGCTATGGTCTTAGAATGGCACCCAAACTAAGCTGATGTCAGTAGGGTTGGGGATTTTTGCAACGACAATGCTATTAATTACTTCCGGATAATCCTGAAAGAGAGAGAAAAGCAATCGACATTGGACATGCTCTTCAACGCCCCATAAGCAAAAAATGAAAAGGACTGATTAATATGCAAGACTATATGTATGTATTATTTTTTAAAAAACTTAATAAGAAATTATACATTTTTTTTAAATTTAATTTTTAGAGTCTCCAGAACGAATTAATCGATTTCACATAGAAGTCTATGGTGAATCGATGATCGGTTAACGAACAATTCGGATAGCGAACATAGTCTTGGAACGGATTATGTTCGTTAACCGATCACCCACTGTATTATATTGTATGCATATAAGAATACT